CCATTTCCCTTTTTTTTCCAGCCATTACACTGTGTTGTATCATATGTATATGCTAGACATCTTCTTCTAATAAGCAAAAGCATAAACAAATCAATCAATATCTAAATCTTTTGAAGATAATGTTGGAGATATACTCCCTTCCCTGTTAACATAAATAGTAAATGAGTTATAATGTATGTAAAAGCACACCCTTCCCCATAAAGTTCCCTCTGAATTAAATAATTATAAATAAGACCAGCTGTGATCAGATTTGCAGAGTTTAGTTTTCCATATTTGTCTTTCCCAGTGCTGAAAATAAAGGGATTTAAAAGTTTCTTACCTCATGGTGTTGGATCAAGAAAAGCTTGACATCACTGGCTCAGTATTTAATGCTAGAAGTTGAGGTCCTTATGGGAAACCATTTGAAACGTGGCCAGAGTGAACCCATCGAAGCATGTCAGTCTGGGGCCTGGTATCTGCTTATGGATTGTGTTTATTTACATTCTCCCAGTTATTTACGTGGTGATCTTTTTTTTTCTCCTGTGGCTCCTGGTGAAGACATTTTATTATACATATTTAGGTGTCTAGAGAGTTTCATTCGTGTTCTGCCTGCTCACTTGCTATCAGCTCTGTGAAGTGAAGGAAGAAGCCCCTATCAGCACACACTGTAGGCCGGATGCCTAAAATCTGCACGACAGGCTGCGAGTCTGTGAGCCAACTTGGACTGGATGTTATAGTCCTACGTTTTGTTTAGGGAGAGTTATTCCCCTACATGTAGGGAACCCTGAAGGAGACGAAGGAAAATGAGCCCTGCTGAGTGTGTGTGTTCTACTCAAAAGACGAAAGACTGCATGTCTGTATGCGTGTGTACCTATATGGATGCAAAAGGCATATATTCAAGATAGAAAAGCAAAAGGTGATGACCTCCCTAGTGGTGTTTAAACAACAAAAACATCTTGGAGTTTCTCACTTTTTATGTCACCTGAGACAAAAGCTTTGTTAAGAAAAAGAAGAAGAAAAAGAAAGAAAAGCAACACTGTGCAATCATTTTAGATGATGGGGACACAGAATTGAGCTGACACCTCATAGCAGCATACTAATAAGCTGCTTTAGGTCAAAATATCCAGTTATTTTTCCAAGCCCTTACCAAAAAATGCTATGCAGTTGCCAAAGTTATGAGTGGTCATTATCTCACTTAAGTATTTTGTCCAGAACGGGGGGTTGGTCTGGGAACTCAATGACCAGAACATTGCCTTCCGTGACATTTCACTAATAAGGAGCATTGATGCACTGAGTAATAGTCTTTTTAGAAGTATAGCCCTTTACAGTAATTCTTGTTCATAGATCAGGACAGAGGATTAATAGTATGTCTGTTCTTCTGTGAACACAGATACAACAATACATGCACACTTTGTATATATGTGTGTCATCAATGACTGTAATCTCAAATTGCTTCTCTATAGCCTACATTTTTTTAATCCTCACCCAAAGATATTTTTCCATTGATTTTTAGAGAGTGGAAGAGAGAGGCAAACACAGAGAAATATCTATGTGAGAGAAACACATCAATTGGTTGCCTCCTGCACGCACCCTGACCAGGGCCTGGGCCGGGGAGGAGCCTGCAACCAAGGTACATGCCCTTAACCAGAATTGAAACTGGGACCCTTCAGTCTGCTGGCCGACACTCTATCCACTGAGCCAAACTGGCTAGGGCCCTATAGCCTACATTAAAATATTAGCAAATCATTATGTTTGGTGTTATGTGTTTCACTGATTCACTAATATTCATTGTCCATCTCAAATGTCAAACACTGTGCTAAGCAGCAGAAATAACAAAGACTACTAAAACAGAGGCTCTCAAATAGCCCATGATTTGGTTTGGAGACAGACATCTTAATAGAGTAAACTCAATATAAGGTATATAACTATTTGAATTGAGAACATATAAAAGAAACCCCATGATAATACTGGCTTGAGCACATATAGGATTTACTTGCTCACACACAAAAAAAATGTCAAGATGTAATCAGTCTAAATAGGGTTCCGGAACCAGGCTCTTTCTCTTTCTGCTCTGCTTTCCTTAAAGCAAAGTTCCCATCTCAGAACTGTCCTGTTCTACAGAATAAGCAACTGGAGCCCACAGGACAGCAGGAAGGCAAAAGACAGAAGGGACCTTCCCCGGCTGAGTCAACTTGTTGAAGTAGCCTTCCCAGGCGTCCCACACACTTCCACTTTTATTCCACTAATTACAGTTTGGTCACATGGCCCATGAGAAATATATTCTTTTAACGGGAGATATTGCCAACCTAAATAGAATTGAGAAAACTAAGGAAGATGGATATTGGGTGGCAACCAGTTATCTGCCTCATGGAGTTATGAACAAAAGGCTGAGGAAGCATGAAGCAAGAAAGCAGTTAACTCTGGAATCTGGAAAAGGCTTTTTTTGAGAAGGAGACAATTTGGGGTTTGAAGGATGAATAGGAGTTTGCCAAATAAAGAATTGGGAATGTTTGCCAAATAAAGTTTGCCAAATAAAGAATTATTTCCAGGCAGAAATAATAACATGTGCAAAGACGCAGAGGGGTCTGACATTATACCTGCCAATGAAGCCCATTTCTTATGCCTAATTTTCCTCTGTTATTAATGATAGCTCTTAAAACAACAGTTTAACTAGTTTTTAATTAATCAAATAGTTATAAAAGATCAACAGATTAAGGTATGTCAACAATAATTTTCCTGATGTAACTGCAAATAATTTTCCACTTGGACCAAAATAAGAACACTTATCTGATGATAAAGTATTCCACATTTTGAAAATAATTGAGTTAGAATATTTTGGCATCTTAAAAAGGAATTGATACAGAGAGAGGAAAAGCGATTGTGTCAGGGCGATGTTTGTCTTTTCAATTCTGAAGTTAAACAAAGCCCATTTAGAACTGACGTGGTTCATATCCTGGGGTCCATAAACCTACACTGAGAGCTCTTGGTGGTCTGCCCAAGTCAGCCTGAAAATATGTCACCTTCTATTTAGCGATTCCTAACATCACTGTTCTTTTGGATCCGTGGAACTGGACTGTCCTTTTCTTAAAATGGCTTTAGAACCATAAGAAATATTTAGGATTAGGGGGGTTTCCATGATTATCTTTTTTTTGGCTCCTTTAGAGACATCAGAGCCTATTAAAAAAAATTCCAGAGAAACAAGCCTTTTGAGAAACCTGAAATTTCTTTAATTTGAGAAATAAACCTAGTTAGTTTTGAGATACCTGAGAGTGTAAATTCCCATGCCCCACTGTGCACCTTGTCCTTCCACAGAGCTGAGTATCTTTCCAACTCCAAACAAAAGCAGTCGAGGCAGCGATTCTTTGAATACTGCTTAAATTAAGATCGCCGTGTTTCCTCAAAAGATTCAACCCTAAGGAAATCAGATGATTTAATCTTCTGATATTTTGATGGTGGTTGTAGTTTGTTTTGCCAACTTTGCTTTTTGCTTACTTTCTTTTTTAAATTTTTATTTATTTTAGAGAGAAAGAGGAAGGGAGAGAGGGAAGAAGAGAGACATTGACTTATTGTTCCACTTATTTATTCATTTCATTGGTTGATTCTTATATAAGGCCTGACTGGGAATCAAACCCACAACATTGATATATTGGAACAAGTCTCCAACAAACTGAGCTACCTGGCCAAGGCCTACTTTTTGCTTATTTTCTAATTAGCTAGTATCTAGGCAAGACTAAAATATTCTGTAAACCCCACAGCAACATGTCCCCTTTTCCTAGTTAATCTGAGTCTTTATATCTCAGCCCAAAAGTTGCTTTCTTAGGGACATCATCTCTGGTCTCTCAAACCAGATCAAATTCTCCATATTTTATGCTCCTGCAGTACCTGTATCTGTATTTTATAGCTTGTGTGGTGATTATCATTGTACATTATTATATTTGGTGATTTGAGTAATGGATACCTCTACCACTAGAATCTTAAGTCCCATGAGGTTGGACCCCTATGTGCTTAAACTCGCCATTGGATTTTGTTCCTCGCACTGTGCCTGGCCCATAGCAGATCTCTGATCATTGTTGGCTGAAAGATTAAATGCCTTTTTGGTAAATAAATTTCTTCTGCACTCCCATTCCACACTGTGCTCAGACATGAGAGTGAATACAGAAGTTGCTCAGCTCAGGTGTGGGTTCATTTTGAAAATAACTTTGCTGCAGTCATATAGAAGCACATTGAAGAAGTCTTAAGCCAGCATGTGCTTGGCTCTGCATGGACGACAGTTGGTGGAGTGCTGACGCTGCCTCACGGCAGCCTCTGAACCTACTGAGGGGCATTGCTGCTCCACCACAGTGAACCCCTCCAGGGGGACTTAGCCTACCTTTGCTCCCCACTTAAGAGCCCAGCACTATGTTTTCTAAATGACATCTTTGCATTTCAAAAAATGTACAACCATTGAAGGAGTTGGTGCTTTGTCATCTATTTTAAAAGATACCTGTGTGGCCTGGCTGGAGTGGCTCAGTGGATTGAGCACTGACCCATTCTCCAAGACATCCCCTGTTCGATTCCCGGTCAGGGCACATGCCCCAATGTTTCTAGCTCTCTCCCTCTCTCTTTCTCTCTAAAATCAATAAAAACATATTTTTTTAAAAAGATGCCTATGTGATTAGAGTGAATCATTATTATTGACAGTGGGAATTATTTTTGAATGAAGGTTCTATAATATCAATAGTGCCAGATCCTCCTCTCTCTCACACCTTTCCCCCTTCCTGATTCTCTCCTTCCCTTTTTCTCTCTCTTCCCCCTCCCTCCCTCTTTCACTGCCTCTCTCTCCATTCCGCCTATCTTTGTGTTTGTTTATTTGAGCTATAAAAACATCTTTACCCATGTTGTTTTTTCCTTCCTTAGCTTGATCCAAATTCCAGCTGAATTCAGTTCCCTTCATAGGAATCATGCCTCCTCAAAGGCAAAGGGAGGATCTGGGGTCCAGCAGTAGGCACCTGGTTGAATTACACATCTCTCTTTCTTGTTAGATTGTTGGCTGTGATCATCAGCTGGGAAGCACTACCAAGGAAGATAACTGTGGAGTTTGCAACGGAGATGGGTCCACCTGCAGGCTGGTCCGAGGGCACTACAAATCCCAGCTCTCAGCAACGAAATGTAAGATGCTACAGAGATGGGGCAATCTTTGGGCCTTTTGACTAGTTAGCTCCACCCCCTCCTGCTCCTGCTTAGCTCCCCTCAGCAGCAAGTGAATAACACCTTCCCCAACATGAAGCCAGATCTCAAAATATTGTGAAACGATACATGACCCTGCTTTGTGGATTAGTTGAAGTGGGATAAATCAGGTCACCTATTGCAACCCCAAGGAGGAAACCTTTACGTTTAAGATACCTTAGGAGCATCTAGACATACACTCTATGTGCAGACATGAGCTAGTTGCCCAGCCTGAGGACAGACTGCATCCCCATTGCTCCTTCACACATAGTCAGATGTGCGTGGTGGAAGATAGCAGGGAGCATGAGCAGATCAGAGCAAATCCACTCTCACATGGTGAAATCACATGGTCTTCATTTACAAAGTGACTTTTGATCAGTGTTGATCACAGATTTTTTTCAGAATTAACATCAGGCAGCAATTATGTGAAGCCATTCATTGCCTTTTTGTCCTAATCTCTCTGCACCAGCACAACAAATGTGTGCTTACTATATAGCCGTGTGTGCTAGAAACTTTACATGATCATCTCATCTAACCCTTACAACAATCTTTTAGCAAGATGCTGTTTGTCTCCATGTTGCAAGTGAGATAACTGAGGCTTAGCCATGTTGTGTGACCTGCTCAGAGTGACACCTCCATAAAGTAGCAGAGCCAAGATTTAAGCCCAGGGTCTGATTCCAAACCCTAAGCACATATTCATTCCTCGGGACTGTCCCATGGAACATGGTGGGACCTTTGTAAAGCAGTTAGGTGGATCAAGGCAAGGAACCTCAGATATCTGCCTAGCTGGGTCCTGCTAGGGTAGGTGGTATATGTTCTCATAATATCCAACCCAACAACGGAGTCACACATCAGTGTCGCTCTGTGCTTGGTACTGCAGCAGATGTAGACATAAATAAGACAGCCCTTGTACCCAAGGACATGCCATTTTAGAATAATTTGACCTTGCTTGGCATATTGTCTCCAGATTTTGCCCTTATCCAGAATCCTTCAATAGATCCTTGATTGAGTCTCCTCTGGCTTGGAAAATGAGAAGGAATATCTTTACTAAATGTGGTTTTATTCACTTGTTGACTCAGTGAAGGAAAACAATTGACATATGAGAGGTTTATGGCTTTAAATGGACTTGCAGGTCAAGAAGAAAGGTAGTGGGCACTGGAGAACTATTCCAAGAAGTCCGGAAAAACCAGCTTGCCAAAAGAATTAGGCTCTAGGGCAGTGGTTCTCAAACTTCCTAATGCCGCGACCCTTTAATACAGTTCCTCATGTTGTGGTGACCCCCAACTTCATTGTTACAAATTGAACATAATTAAAGCATAGTGATTAATTACAAAACAATATGTAATTATATATGTGTTTTCCGATGGTCTTAGGCGACCCCTGTGAAAGGGTCGTTCGACCCCCAACCAAGGGGTCGCGACCCACAGGTTGAGAACCACTGTTCTAGGGGGAAGGAGGTGGCAAGAAAAAAGGCTAGGGACTTTTAAACACATGAAACATTGGAGGTGCCAGCTTGGGGAACTCTCCACATTCTAATACCCCTGCAAGCAGTGAAAAATGTGATTTTGGAAAAAAAATTTTTTTTAAATACTCTGGCAGAGAGAATGAACGATGAGGTAAGTTAGACATTGATGTAGTACATTCAGGCAAGATATATATTTTTTTGGTCATGTTTGGTAGCATTTCTGTAAGATGAAAAATTAAAGAATTTAGACGATGAAAACCAGAGAAGGACAGAAAGTTAGAGGCGTAATTCTTTTGTAAATCTCTGAAATCACGGTGAGATATATTTGGGAGGGGCTGGGGAGGTACATTTAGAAAGTCCCTTTAATAGAACTCTAAGGAATACAGAAGAGTTAAAATCGTTTTTCCTTGAGTCACATAACTACTGAGTCATGCTCATTCTCTCGGAATCTAAAAATTTCTATTAGGCACAAAAAGATGGCAGGCTTGTGTCAGCAGCTGCTGAGGGCATGTTTTTCCTTCATTCCTTCTTGTGTCCCCCACCTTCCCATCCTCATTAAGGAGCCTGAACATGCCGGTGGGATAGATGATCCTCTTACCCTCCTGTTAAAAGGTGATCCGGGACCTTTGGGGCCAGAATCACTGGAGCAAAGGTGGAGAGACGCTGAAGGAACAAACTGAGGCAAAATGAGAGCCATAAGTCATCTCGGGGTCTGCAAATAGACACCTCCGTGCAAACCGCTCTATTCGAGAGCGGCAGTGGGTAAATTACATAATGCACAGCCCGATGATTTTCCGTAATGACAAAACGCAATTGATTCGTTTACCTTAGCGCTGATGATGCCTCCTGACAAAATGATTTATATCAATAAAGCCCGGCATCTGCGTGCACCTCACCACAATCTATAGCAGATGCTGAACAAACTGCCTCGTTCATGTTTTCCCCACCCCAGAAGGACCTTCCGCCCAGATTTACAGGCTGAGGGGTGACCCACAGGCAGGGAACATTAGGCTGCTCTGCGGGGCCCAGTGCAGTGGCCAGGTGAGCAGCTTTCCACCCGTGAAGGCCCGGGGACTTCTGCCAGGCCGCTCCCCGGGCTCTGCCAAGAGCACAGGGAGCCAGCCGCATGCTCTTTCGAACTCCCAGCACTCGGATTCCCCACATTGAACTCATTTTCTTCTGAACTTACATCCAACTTTTTTTTCCCTGGTGTTATCAAGCCCTGGGGGAACAAAGAAAACACAGAAGAGGGGAGGAAGACCCTGGTGGAAAGTGCCAGAAGGAAAGGAAGAGCAGGAGGAACTTGCAAATGGCTTCCCTTAGCTGGCAAAGAAAAAAGAGACCATGTTTGTACTAGAAGACATGACTTTTTGCCTAATACAAATGCAGGCAACAGAAAAAGAGCTAGGTCAGGCCCTCCTTCCCCCTTTTCAGAAGAGAAAGCTGTCCACTGAGAGCATTCAGTGTTTCCATTCATCCTGGTCACTTCCTTTCTATTCCCCCAGCCCAACAGAAAATAATCAGATTTAGCTAACACTAACTTACGTTTGGTTCTTGGTATTAAAGACTCATTTCCCCCCAAATTTGACTGGCTTGTGCCGTATTATGTATTTTCCAAGTCTGTTCAGAACATACTTAGACCTAGAGCCAGCCTATTTGCTATCAATTTGATGTCTCCAGCTTTGCAAACCTCTGATACGTATCTGCGTGTTTTGAAATCTACTGGGTATCCTAAAGATCTCTCTCCACCTCTCTTGAGTGGTAAGAGGTTGGATACACTAATTTATACCAAGATCAAATGAAGCTCCTAAATGCTTGGCTTCGCTTCTCAGACTGTGGCTTATGCTGATTTATAATAACGATGGGTAAATGTTTTCCTGGACTATTATTTTGGCTCAAAGATTTTGAGGTAAAGGATGTTCATAATAAAACACAGATCTATGTATTATAAAGTGAATAATACATAGGAATGTTTTAAAGAAAGCACAAAGTTTTAAAGAAATTTCTACCTTGAACTTCAGGTTATACTCACAAGCTACTTACTCATTCATTCATTCATTCATCATTCATTCAGCAGAAGTTCACTTATTTATTCCACAACAAATATTTCTTGGATACCTGCTACATGTTAAGGAACTATTTTAGTACTGGAAACGTAAGAAAGAACAAAACAGATGAAAATCTATCTTTCTCAGGGGGCTTACATACTAATATGAGGGACAGACATGTACAGGGACAAAACAAATAACTAAATAAAATAATGCATGTGCCATATGGTGATAGGAGAATAGTAAGGCAGGAAGGAGATTGGAAAAAAGTAAGGTAGGGAAGGAGAAGAATTGGATATTGGGCTGCTACCCAAGGGTATTGGAGGGTTAAAAAGGTTAGTAAGAAAAGATTCACTGATAAAATGGAATTTGAGCAAGCATCTAAGGTAGGTACCGGCGGCGTACCACACAAAGTCAGGGGGGAGAGAATTCCAGGCATAAAGAACAGCAAGCGCAAAGGGCCTGCGGTAGATGCATTCTTAACATATTTCTTGAAGAGCAAAGAAGCTTGTGTTGTGGTGGAGAATGGCACCCATATTGCTGGATTTTATAAGGACTCTGGCTTTTAATTTCAATGAAATGAGAAGTCACAGGAGGATTTTTAGCAGGGGCATGATTTGTTTTAAAGGGATCACTCTACTATGCTGAGAATAGATTATAAGGAGTCCCAACTGTGAAAGTAAGAAAAGCAGTCAGGAGGCTTCTACAGTAAGCCAGGCCAGGGATGATGATGGACCATGGTAGTAGCTATGGAGGTGGTGAGAAACGTTCCAATTCAGGATAATTGCATTTCTTTGAATCTAAGACATCATTGCTTGAAAGATGTGCCATTATTTTATTTTTTAAAATATATTTTTATTGATTTCAGAGAGGAATGGAGAGGGAGAGAGAGAGAGAAACATCAATGATGAGAGAGAATCATTGATTGACTGCTTCCTGCACACCCCGTACTGGGGATCCAGCCTGCAACCCAGGCATGTGCCCTGACTGGGAATTGAACCACAGTCTTCTGGTTCATAGGTCGATAGTTTATTTTATTACTGTCATAATTCCACTGCACCACACCAGCCAGACTGTACTATTACTGTATACGCCACTAAGAGAGAAAAAAAAAAGTCACTGAAATTAAGCAACTATGACACTGCCTTCTGACCACTTAGGGCTTTTACTTCTTAACTACTATAAGGTCTTTTTTAAACTTAGATATATCTTTAGACTATACTGTATTACACTTACACATCCAGAAAAGGAAAATAAAACTAAAATAAATTAATAAATTGATAAAAAATTAAACTTTTTCTCAAACTTCAATTCTTTTTAATCCCTTTAGACTCAGTCAATTTCCACATCATCAGGGTACTTGTGATACAGTATTTTTGAAAGAATCCAAAAAAAAGAAACAAGTCCCTTAGTATTGGGCCCTTTTGTTA